AATCTTGTTGGAAAATAATTGAATCACCATCAGATGGAAGGAGTCAGGAAAAAGGCAAGTGAAAACCATAACATGATGACAGTGAGCTCAGAAAAGAAACCCAGGCTCTGAAAGCACAGAGACCAGGAATATGTATCCCCTGGCTTAGTGATACAAGTGACCACAGTGAAGAGGTGGGAATGTACCATAACCACCACCCCCCTACAGGAGAGGCTTAGGTGGGAGAAGGCTTGACCAACCACCAAAGGCTCAAGAAAGGTAGTATGAAAAAGACTCCTTGATTGACCAGAGACTGGAAATCTCCCAGGAGTCGAGGTAAGAACCTTAGACCCCTAAAAAGGAGGAATATGAGAATCTGGACAAGGCAGAGTAAGCAGCAACCCCACTGCGGTCTGGACTCTGTTCAACTACCAAGCCAGGGATCTGAGGAGAAGTTCCACTCATCAAGGAGTGTTCACCAAAGGGAATACATATGAGTCCAACCCATGGGAATGAAAGTGTCCAAGGAAGTCCACATTCCCAAAGAGATAGAAGATATTTAGTCATAACAGAGTGAGAGATGTGTGAACTGCTCGTACCAAACCTGGAGACAAACAGGAGAGGTCTGGGCCTGACTGAGGTTGAAAAGAAGAATCCCCCCCAAATGAATGGGATATTGAGAGGGGTCAGAATGGACATCCCCCTTGTCATAAGGAAACCAACTCGTTCTGCATCTTGTAGGGGCAGGCAAGCGTGGACTATGGACTGAAAATGGGAGGAAGAAAGCAGGAGCCAGTCAAACCAGAGAAGGAAGAATGCAAGTTCGTGGAAACAAATGAAATCAAACATGAAAATTAGAAATTGTTGAACAAACTTTGTCAAAAACGGCAACAAATCACAATCAAAAACTGTAGTCACACTCAGAAAAAATTAAACACGCGTCTAAACTGTGTCACACAAATTGAGGAAGTGAGGATTGAGCACAAGTAGCAGAGAGAACTAGCCATGCTGTGATAGGTGGCACAATACTATTGGTGGAGAGTAATCACGACATGAAATGGTATGCAACTGATGAGGTATACAGACTGGCAGACTGATTACAAAAAATTATTTTAGAAATGCTTAGAGAGCAGTCAACAATCAAGATAGCTTTTGTGTGAGAGGAAGTAAGTTTATTTTGGAATCACTATTCTCTCTCTCTTTCTAGTGTCACTCTATGTTAGTCTACATTGATTTCATCCTCATTTGATCCTTTGTCTTCACTAGTTTTTTCTTACCTGCTTGTGCTGAATCAAGTCCTATTAGTGCTTACAGTTGAAGCTTCTGTTTTGATCTTCATTTACAATTCATAGTCATCTCTTCTATTTTGTCACTGACCTTGTACGAAATCGGTATTATAGGACTATTTTAGCTATTCAGTCCATTACAATTTGGTAAGTACCCTTTCATTTTTTTAACATTATAGAATGCTTTCCATTTATGTAAACAAGTAGCTACAGTAGCTGAAAAGCTTAACATTCATACAGCAACTTTATATAACTGCTGACCCCCAAAAGGTGTTTTCACCACATAAAAAAGCATAGAACTTCCCTGCTTCATAATCTATGAACACTGGATCCATGTTACAGATATGGTCTACTACCTTCATAATCTATGTTCAGCTCTGTAATCTTGCCAAATCATATGAAATAAACACTGGATCCATGTTACAGATATGGTCTGCTACCTTCATAATCTATGTTCAGCTCTGTAATCTTGCCAAATCATATGAAATAAACACTGGATCCATGTTACAGATATGGTCTGCTACTTTCATAATCTATGTTCAGCTCTGTAATCTTGCCAAATCATAAGAAATAAACACTGGATCCATGTTACAGATATGGTCTGCTACCTTCATAATCATATCATTAGTTTTAGTTTGATCATTTCATTCCAAGTCTTAAATTCTGGACTTCAAGTCCAGCCATGTAGGCTGCTAATTGGTCAGGATCAAAACTCTCAGTGGGTGGAAAATGTCATTATCATTTCAAGAGTGATTGCCAAAAAAAGTGTACTCTTGGAACTTTCTATTTTTCTTGAAAATAAAGACCTCCATACTTAAAGCTGGTTTAATTGTCACCTTTGAGTTCTGTAATAGCATGCAAAACGGTTTTCAGGCTTTCAACAAGGCCAGTACTGAAGATTCACATAGATCTTTTGGATTTGTTATAAGTATGTCTTATGTTTGTAACAGTAGAACTAACCGTACTGTAACTATGTGTATCTTCAAGTAACTTGGCAACGTTTTAGTTAGCATTAAAAATCTGTTCGACACAAAAAAGTATTTTTACTAAATATTTGTCTGTGAATTTACAAAGCCTTTACCAAGTCAGTCCGAATCAAAGGTGATTTTTATGCTAAGAATAATAACATCTTTTCTTCACTTTACACTTTTCATAAGTCATATGCATAACCACTAGAACTTCCTAAATGAATATCAAAAGTTTTTTTGAAAAACTGAATATATTTTCTCATTAACTGCATTGAAACCATCAATGTACAGTGAAATTAAAAATTGAAAAATACGAAATAAAATCATTAATACCATTTTTTCATCTAGAATGACTGCAGAATTTACAACACACTTCCAAATTGCTTATCTTAACAGTTTGAACTTCTAACCTTTTCACATGTGCTTTCTTTTAATTACAGTACCTTCGACCAACTACTGCACATTAAAAGCAATAAATCAGTCAAACGTTTTCTGTAGATACAACACAAAGTGCAGTATCAGGTTCTGAGCTCTAAAATTTTAGACGTTATTTTATTGAAGTTTTATCACCTAACTAAAAAGTTTATAATACTTATGTTTTATTTACTTTTCTTAAAAAATATACATAAAAATACAAGGATTGGTAGTACATAAAAAACAAGGATTTGTAATACATAGAAAAACAAGGATTTGTAGTACATAAAAAAGGGGATTTGTATCATATAAAAAACAAGGATTTGTAGCACATAAAAAACACGAGGATCTGTAGTACATAGAAAACAAGGATTTGTAGTACATAGAAAACCAAGGATTTGTAGTACTCACTGATAATGGAGGCAGTTTTTGTACCCAAGTAATGATCTTCAGTAGGTCTTATTGTGTTTCACAAATTTGGATTTCCAAAAGAAAGAATTCATGTAGCTATGAAATATGCTTTTCAGAACCCAAAAAATATATATCAGTCACTATAGTAGAATATCTCCAAATTAGGGCAGTAAAATATCATCAACACAAGCCCAAAAATTCCACTTATTACTGGTTTATGGGGGACAACTAAACAAAACATTTATGTAGAAAAAAATCTGCTTTTTTTTTTATTGGTTATAAGCATGTCCTTCAGTCATGTAAGGTTAACTGGCAAAAAATCTCAAAAAAAGATGAGTTTGACAAATTTATTGATATTTTAGCAAATCACGATGGTGGAAGGCTCAAACTGTAGAAACTTATTACTATAGATATAAATATCTGAAATTGAGAAACTGGAGTGTCACTTAATACTGAAAAATGAAGACTAACATTTTTGAAATACTTACTTTTAAAATTAAGATGTTAAAAACATAAGTAATATGTTTTCACACCAATTTTACATTGATGGTGTTTGATTCAATTTTAAGGTAACACTTGAAAAGTTTGTGGCAAGTGTAAAAGAGTCAGGTCCAGATGCATGGGGTTAAAAGGAAAATGTTTATAACTGTCCATTCTGAAGCTGCAGTTGATAAGACTAAGGATGCAACAATTATGCTGTGTATGCCACTGAGAAAATTTAAAAGTCTTAATGAGAAGGAAAAAACTGTTCTTTAAAAAGTGGCGTACTCCATTCTGATGAGAACTCATTATTTGAGCTTGAAGAACCTTTCATAAAAATACTATCAGAAACAAACTATTGCTAGCAGTAAGTTAGTTGCTAGTAAGTTTGTTCAAATAGTTACTGATGAAACATTAAATCTGAATAAATAGAGTTGTTTAAACATTTGGTCAACAACAAGTAAAAAATTGAAATGGTCTATTCTTGCATTGTGGTGTGTGCCAGACTGGTTTTGGAGAATTCCACTCCACATCAGTGTTTGTTTGTTTTGAATTTTGCACAAAGCTACACGAGGGCTATCTGCGCTAGCCTTCCCTAATTTAGCAGTGTAACACTAGAGGGAAGGCAGCTAGTCATCACCACCCACCGCCAACTCTTGGGCTACTCTTTTACCAATGAATAATGGGATTGACCGTCACATTATAATGCCCCCACAGCTGAAAGGGTGAGCATGTTTGGTGTGACAGGGATTCGAACCTGCGACCCTCAGATTGCGAGTCAAGCACCCTAACCACCTGGCCATGCTGGGCCCCTCATCAGTGACCCTGGAAACTACCACCAATGAAATATCAGACCAAGCCAAGCCTTTATAGTAGTGAGGTATCGAAAATCAAACTGGTGTATTTAAGTGTTTTACACTCACATAAAAGAAACCTATCATTCTATAGGTATTTCAAGAACTTGTAGCATTAAGCTTGCTAACAAACGTACCGTGTTTTGCAAAGTGGAAAATGAAAGGGATATCTAAATTGTTTTTTTTATGGAACTATAAAGTGGTAGGTGGAAAGGCAGAGAACACTATTAAGCAGTGTTTTGAAGTACTCAGAGAAATTACAGAAGATAAAGTTGCAGGATTGGGGTCAGGTGAAATGAGTATTATGAGACAAAGATTGCAAGAAACAAAATGTGTTTTTTATACTTGCATTGCATCACACACGGTATAACCCTAGCAATGAAGAGCAATACGACTGGAGTTGTTGAAGCAAGTAGGAATTGTAACATCCCCAACAACATTGTAGAATTGTAGAAAAAAATCTGAGCAAACAGCACAAAATATTTTTACAATTATATAAGAATACTATATTTTCTTTAAAAATTTGGAACTCTTAAGTTTTTCCTTTTCAAACCTTGAAAGAAATGGAAATACTGTGGCCCTTAACTTAAAACAACTTTAAAAATTACCTCTGATACACGCATGTATATTCCTCTGATATTTTGGCCAACATCAAAATAAAAATTCTTGTTCTCTACCCGAATGTGACGAGCCTCTGGGAGGTCTCCTTTAAACCCTAAGACATAAAATATAATTTAAAGAAGTGTCAAAAGAAGCAGATATTTGTGAACCAGAGAACAACGTTATTAAGGATGAAATTATATTTTGAGAAATTAAATTAAATAAACTTCCCACAAAGTTGTTAACATGTCAAAAAGTCTCTGTCAAGAGTAAAACTGAAATTGTAAACTTGGAATTCTGTAAGACATTACCAAAACATCACAGTGAATTCTTATGATTTTTAATATAAGCACTTAATGTAAAAATGTGAAAATAAAATCAGTATATCACAAAATTACTGTTCACCCTAATCATATTATACCACATTGCTATTGAAGTTGGATATATATTAATCATATTTAATTCATTAAGTAAAACTCAAACTACTCGTTAAGTTAAGAACCACATTACAGCTGACAGAGAAACAGTTTTATACTGACACACAGTTCAATTAGGTGGTTTGTAGCACCATCATTGGAGAGTTTTGAAACATAACAAAATACATGATTATGTTTTTTTTCTAACTCAACTGAATTTAAGTATTAAACTAAAATTTGAAGCTACAATATTTTAATAAATTGTGTTAAATATAATATTTTAAAATTAAAGGGTCAGATACAATGTTGGTAATGATAGATAGATTCAACATAAACCAAAGCATTTACTAAATTTCAGAAGTGATCAATATGCAGTTAACTTAATTGAAATTTAACGAAAATCTAAGTTGTGATTCATGCTCCTCTAATTGAATGTGAATAAAACCTTGCTTAGACATACTTTATCTACTTTAGCACCTTAACCCATTTTACAAAAGTAAAAAACTGTATTCTGGTTGGTGCAACAATGATTACACACCTGTGGTAACTTGGAAACAAAGTTTTTAATGGGACTGCCTAGTACACATCAAGTTCAGGTCTCACTTCTGTTCTAGCAGTTTGAAATAAAACTATCACGAAACTTGTTGCCCCAAGCAAAAGAAATATAAAACTAAATTCAAATCTAAGTAGAAGACTGTTCTTCTGGTGTGATAGTGTTCAAACAATTAAATTGGTAAAAAACTGAAAGCAAAGTTTACAGTTACTTCACATAAACAAAGTTTATGGCCAACTTAAAAGTTTTAACTGTTTAATACAACACTTGCTTAATCAATCATTAAAATCAACCTCCAAGTAATATCTAATAAGCCTAGCAAAATACTCTGGCTGAATTCTTCTCAAATTTCCATGTCAAGTATTCATAAATGTCTTTTGTTTAAAAATTACAGAAATTCCACACAATAAAATGGGAAAAAAATAAGAATGCGAGTCAAAATATTTTTTTTCTTAGTTAGTAAAGTTAGTAAAAGTTAGTAAAAAAGTTAGTAAGTGGTCATGAATTTCAGCTTTACTTTTTTATAATTTTTACAGAGAGAAAAAAAATAGAAAACATTCATTGAAACACTGAAAAATACTGTAAGCCTTAAAAATTTTTGTAAGACACTTGAAGGCCTAAATATCATGTAATCACATTAATAATGAAATGAAATTAACTTTTAGAAACAAGACCTTTGGTTAATTTAATACTAAGGGTTAAATGCATTAGATTACAACAATTTTGGAACCTCACCACATCATAAACAGTCAATCTCATGACATCTGAAATGTTCTATCTGAGGATTGTACATTTTAATAATAGCCTTGCCATATAGTTACCATCGCAAAAGGCTCTGTTGCAAGCTTGTCATATCTAAAGCATACCACTCCTCCCTGCAGCTTACCATTATCCATCTATTGTATAAGGATGAAGGTTTCCTAGCACCAGTTTTAACAGTCCGAGCACATAGAAATCCATAGGCATCACATAAGGTATATTGAATATGTTTTTGTTTGGAATAGCAGTAATACCCATTTAAGTATCAGTTGTTTGAGGTATGCAATGGTTAAATGGATATGTTGTGGAAGCAAGACACAGATCCTTCTTGAATATGTTGCATACTGTTGCATGGGACATATAAATGGATTCTGCCACTACCTTTGTGTTTGTGGATTCTCATCTGTTAGAAAATGCTACACTTTGCTTACTATAACTGAGGTACAACTTCAGGTTAAGTAGTTAGCACACAGGGTCACCTACAAAACTTGTAATATTTTCAAGACAAGACCCAATACTCGAGCACTTTTGAATAGTTGACTATTCTTCTTCAGGACAATAAAGGGTACAACTTAATGCAGGTTTCTTTTTGGATGGTCCTGATGTGCCAAGTTGATATATATTACTTTGTTTTCCAATACAATAAGTACATGGGCTTTCCCTATCCTGGAAGTTCTAAATTCCCAATTTGACACATATTTATGATCTGAATGTATACATATTTTGTATTTTCAAGGTTTTTTATTACACTTACCAAAACCAATCAGTTTTTGGTGGCATCACTCTATCTACAAAATGACAACTGATATCAAAGTGTAATTCTTGTACATGCTATTCCACTACGACTTTATACTGACTATGGTTTTCACATGACTTACTGATTTGCATATTCCAAACAGTTGTAATATAATGTATCCAACCTTTAATATTTATAATATTTAAGTAAAATAACACCTTGAGTATTTCTTAACATTTCTTTGGAACTTATGTTGCAAACAGTTTTAGTTTAATATTTCTAGTAATAATCTCAAATGATACATTGTCTATAATAATAAAAGGGCATGCCTCTGTGTGTGTGTGTGTGTGTGTGTATGACTGTCATAGCTCCAAGAGGAAAGAACCTAGAAACCTGAAACTTTGCACTCATACTAAGTGGACCCTGAGGGTGTGCACCTGGGTATTATTATTTATCTTATCCACGTGCGTGTGCACCCCATTGTATACTCTGTAGTATATCAGTTAGATTAACAACTCTTAATATATAGAAAAGCCAGTGCATTTTGGTAACAATGCATTCCAACAATGGCTTTTATGTCATGTTGTTCAGAAACAAAAGTATAACCTAATATTGTTGTTAGTTTATGTACTGAAAGTATAAAATGAAATGTGGAAACAACAAAACTGGAAAAATATTTGTTAATTTCTTAATTTACAGTTTCTGTTGAATAAAGAGGTTTGTTTATAATTAAAGATGTTGGTGATATAACAGAAAATATCTTAATACTGAAACGATTTAAGTTTAAAAATGGATTGATATTTTTACTTTCATGATAAATTTTATGCACTTGCTAAAATATATCACCCCAATAACCCATGCGAAGCCGGGTACTTTCGCTGGTAGTTTCATATTTTGCTGAAATAATAATGTAGAAAAGGGGTAAATTACCAAATGATGTACCATCATCAGTGCCAAACTCTTCTAACAAGTCAGTAAGGTTATCACGAAATTCTATCATTCCTTGTGCTGGTATAGCAATCTGAGAGCGTGGACCACCTTGTGTAATTGTTTGAGATATCTGTAATGAAAATCATATTCTCCTTTATGAAGATAAAAACTAACTGAAATAATTTTTTTTCTTTTTTTTTTCAGTTCTCAAAAAGCATACTCTAAGACTCTAACAGCTCCAGTAAATTCAAGCTATATAGATGGATCTCATTACATTACAGTTCAAATAAATTCAAGTGATATAGATGGATCTGATTACATTTCACTTGTTTTATGTTTTCTTAATGTTTCAGTTTCAACCTTCATCAAGGTCTTTGCACAAGAAATTGTGTGAAAAACATTTCAAATCACTAAAAATAACCAAGTACCCACATTCTAAACTACAAATGTGTGTCTAAACACTTGTAAAAATATAAAAATTTACCTGTAACAGTATAATCTTTAGAAGCTAGTAGTGTATTCATTACGATAATGTTTCTAGTATCAAAGTAAAAGACAAAAAAAAACCCTTCATTCCAAGAAGTATTTGTTCCCCAGTGGCACAGCGGAATGTCTGCAGACTAACAACACTAGAAATCAGGTTTCGATGGTGGGCAGACTACAGATAGCCCATTGTGTAGCTTTGTGCTTAACTACAAACAAAACAAGCATTAATGTTTTTCTGTATTGATAATAAAGAAATAATGTAGTTAAAATAATAAATTTATCCAGGCTTAACTTTCTCTCTTAAGTATTTTTTTCTCTATCTCTGACTTTCATAGCTTAACACACACACATACAATGACTAGCTATATAAGGTGTACCAAAAAGTCTTCTCCCCATAGGGTAATGAGTTTGGTTTGTTATGAATTTCATGCATGAGGACAATCTGTGAAAAGTAATTTCGCTACGTTTATTTTAAGATGTTCTACGTAGCATTTTTTCTTACACTATTACAGCAATCCCATCAAATCTAACTCTAAACAGCATGCAAAAGGAAAGCGATGCCACATTGTAGCTTTATACTGATAGAGTAAATTGTTAATAAGGTATTGTTTCCCAAAACTTTTAAGTAGTTCTACATCGTTAGTGCTCCTGACATAGCTTTTGTGACAATTCAACAATGTTCAGAAAGTACCACTGGTCATAACCAAAAAGTTTACAAACAATCTATTCACTTAAAAATAGGTTAATGTAGCCTAACACTAATTACTTTTAATCTTTTAAATGAAATCTTATTTATAATTATGTATTCAAACTCAAACTGCATTTATATTAAAATTAGTCAAAATATAACGTGTCAGTAATTTTAAACTAAGGTAAGTAATCTCCTTTAGCATAATAAACAAGAATACATGTTATAATTATTTCCTTTGCCGCAACTGGCAAAGATGCAGACTTTTAACATAATCATTGTTGATTGTTTTTGAATTTCGTGCAAAGCTGTACAAGGGCTATCTGTGCTAACCGTCCTTAATTTAGCAGTGTAAGACTAGAGGGAAGGCAGCTAGTCATCACCACCTACCGACAACTCTTGGGCTACTCTTTTACCAATGAATAGTGGGATTGACCATCACATTATAATGCCCACATGGCTGAGAGGGCTAGCATGTTTGATGCAATGGGGATTTGAACCTGTGACCCATAGATCCTTAACCACCTGGCCATGCTGGGCCAATCATTGTTGATTTATTGTTACAGATGGAACTGGGCAATTAACTCAATATTCAATATAATCAATTACCTATAAATATTAACTGATTGCATTGATTAGCATCACATAAAATAGAAACTACATTTAAATCAATGAATATCATGAAAATAATCAACTAATGTTTCCATCGTTATAATTTTCATATATGTATTTCCAACAGCTACTTACTTCTGCTCACATACATAACTATTCTCGTTCAGTGCTGCTCTCTATTTGCAAGCATCTTTTGCATGCCACAAGCCTTTCATTCCCATGCATCTTTCAATTCACATGGTTTAACTGATACTTTCATGCAAACTATTATACAACAAACATTCTACAATAGAAGTACCACATACCCATGTAACTCCCTCTATGCTATTCTACCTATCTCTTCAAGCTCAGGCAGAAACTTGAGCACTGGTTGACAGTGGGGAGGAAGAGTGAGAAGTGTGAGCAGAAATAAGTAACTTTCAGAAATACATTTTCAGTATTGGAAAATTATAACTTCCAACAAGATACCTTACTTCCATTCACATACATAGCTAGAATCCCACGTTGAATGTATGGAGGGACAGGTGCAAGGGAGAAAGTGGAAACATCCATAAGACAATCTAACAAGGGAACCCTCTAATAAGAGGATTATACATGGGATACCGCACCACTTCTGTACCAAATATGCTCTTTGCATAGATGTGGAAGAAGTGTGGCAGATATGAGTAGAAAATTGTGTGGAGCACATCCAAATGGGAGAGAACACAGGTTGGACAGTGATTAGAACCACAACATATAATAATTTCAATCTCCCTTATGAAAGAAATGTGGGTAAATTAAGGGATGTGCCCCAAGGTGTAGAGTGGCTAGGGCAAGACAGACCATACATAGCAAGTAAACTGCATCCAAAACACGACTACTGGGAACTGACCTGCATGCCGGGGTAGGATGAGGATCATACCATCTTCATCTCAAGTTCAGCTGACTGGAGAGTAGAGTGATGTATCATATATGTATACATATTGAACTGGGAACCCGACTTCTGGATGAATAGAAGCAAGAAAGGTATCCCTGTAATGTACTATGTCCCACTCAAATCAAACAGACTGGAACCACCCCAAATGCAAAATGTCCTTGACATAAATACATTAAGGGTTAGCACAAGAGGAAGAAGCAAAGCAACAAACAAGTACACACAGTGACTCAAAGCAATGGGATAGTACACTCGAGGTGAATTGACTGAGTGACCAGGGACACCCTGAACATATGTGTGAGGACTTACGTTGATTGGTTCAGTTTGAAATCAAAAACTCAACCACCAGGAACAGACTTCCATGTGGAGGTAGGATGAGAGATCCCAGTCATTATGGTGGCTCACTCCACAGCTACAACATCCCCTAGAACAATGCCATGCAGAGATAAAGCATCCATTTGGAGGATCATACCATCTTCATCTCAAGTTCAGCTTACTGGAGAGTAGAGTGATGTATCATATATATATATTGAACTGGGAACCCAACTTCTGGATGAATAGAAGCAAGAAAGGTATCCCTGTAATGTACTATGTGGCTCACTCCAAAGCTACAACATCCCCTAGAACAATGCCGTGCAGAGATAAAGCATCCATTTGGAGGATGTCTTGTCATCTCCACCAACAGAACACCACTGCCCTGCTCTCAACTGAATGGAGTCTTTATTGTTTATACTGTATATCTCTTATTCAAGAGGATACCTCCATGGTCCACCGCCCCAGCAGCTTGGAACTAGAAAGTGATAAAAACTCTTGTATTCCACTGGAAGAAATGAGGGGAGAAAAACATGGTGGAGAGTCTGGAGGTACATTCACACCAGAGACGATGCAGTAGGTGACAATGAAACCCTATGTTGAAAAGCAGACCAAACCCGATTTATTTAATATAAGGAATGGCAATGATGAGCAGCAGTCCCCCGTCTACTTTACCCATAAAGTTCAAGGGTTAGTACAGTCAGGAACAGGCATACTTATGAAGAAAAGATATTGTAAGGAATACCTATGAGCGATCTTGTGGAACAACCCATCTTTATTTTATTTGATTGTAATGAACAATATGCATTTTGTGTTCATGGAAATGTTGAAAGTTAAGTCAACATGACCATACAGTGTGGGTTTTACTTGTCAAATTGCAAGAGACTGAATTATACCTGGACAGGCAACACTGAAATCTGAAGAATGGCAAAAGGAGGAAGATGGTAAACCGATGAGGAAAAAAAGTGACACAATACAGATAGTGAGTAACGAAAGTATGCATAGTGGTCCACATGCTCGCTTGAAGAATTTCCTACAAAAGACGAAGGAAATGAGATGCCAGGAAAAAAGTATGGGGCTTAATCTGATGGGAAGACCCCTAGAACAAATTATGGAAAGAAGGAGGTTAAGCAAACCAAATTAAAAACCAAACCCAATTGGTAAGGGAGATCATGAACAGAGAATAGTTGCCAAGGGATGAAAAGGCAGGAACGATTATGAAAGAAGGAAGCCATGCAGGCAATATAACAACAAAGATCACGAATAGGGCATAGACGTCTATCTGGATCAGATCGGGAATAGAGGCGGGAAATGGAAGAAAGTGAAATTGGTGAGAAGGAGGAATTACCCATCTGAGACACCAAAGTTTTGGGAAGGAAAGATCGATCCTGGTAAAGGAGAATATAAATGGGATGGTACAGAGTTTGTGATATGTCAATAGCAATCAAATCTCATCAATAATGTCCACAGGCCAAAAGGAGAAAGAAATGCACCTTAAGGAATAAATGAAACATGGAACACGACGAAAAAGGCTCAAACAGGTGTAAAGTAAGGCTGTGCAGCACCACAGTGAAATCCCAGTCCAGAAAGACCACATATCTTGGAGGTCAACTAATTCAAAAGGAATGCAACAATAGCGATAAGGTATGAGAGGTAAAAACTTTATGGTACTGGGAAAAACGAAAAGTGTGGGATGAGGCAGCATGATAACCTGTGATCGAAGTTAACTGACTAAATAGCCAAGTGAGAATTTCTATAATAATAATAAGAACAGTGGGAAGAGCAGGGGAAAACCCCCAGCCCAAAGACCAATGATGGAAGATGTTCCATTTATATTGATAAACCTCCAAATAGGAAGGGAGAATGGAATGTGCTAAAAATGAAGCTACTCACCATTACAAACCGGATCTCCTTGCAAAGCACTGTATAAAAACCAGGCATGAAGATGGAAGGTAGGAAGGGCTGGAGGAACAACCTGAGACTGAGGTTGCCATAGAAGGGGTGGAGTTATGGGAAGAGACAATAGTGGAGCAGATTGGATCTGGAGAAGCCCTGGAAACCATGGGAAATCAGAAGGAACTGACACAGAGTGGTGTGGATGATAGAAACCACACCCTGGAAAGGAGTCTGATCGGATGATATAAATAAAGGAATCTGTCTATCCAATCTTGACTGAATGCAATGGCAGCCAGTGCAAATGAATAAGGTACTGGAGACCAAAACCAAAGTAACTTCGTAATGAGGATTGTGACAAATGCATCCACTGATTGCATAACCACTGGAAAACTTGAGGATCTAAAACCACTCCATTGGACATATTTTGTCCAGGAGGGTAGACAATGGTTAATAGCACTGGTACATGATACACAAGGAGATGAATACCATACATGTGGGTCCAAAAAAGAAGATCCAATGTTCGACCACAGAGGGAATAAAAATGGGTGCCTCCCTGGTGATTGATATACGTCACCATCGTGGAATTGTCGGAATGTATAATAACCAGACAATTGCTGGCAAGACAAAGAAAATGATCCAAAGCTCGATGTATGGCGAGAACCTCCAGGACATTGATATGGTAAAATTGCTCAGTTGGAGACCATTGACTGAAGCTATTTGCTGCTTGACCTATGTCCCTCAGTTGAGAAGTGAAATGTCAGTGAAAATATATATATTCTGACAAGGGGGAGGAAGTGGAACAGTCACTGATGTTTGACCCTTGTTCAACCACCAATGCAGATCATCTACAAGGGAAGGAGGAAGGGTAATAGGAACATCCAAGAGATCCCACCAATGGTTCCACTGGTCATGGAGAATCCACTGAAGTGATTTCATATGAACATGACCCATGGAGATAAGTGCTGCCATAGAAGACCACATTCCCAAAAGAAATAGGACCTCACAAGCAATAATAGAGGGAGCAATAAGGGTTTTGAGAACTGCCACATCCATTGAATGGAGTTAAAAGGAGAAGGTTGGGCTCGAATGAAATGAGTGTCGAAAAACACCCAAATGGATAAGATATTGGGTAAGAAGAAGGAAAGAAGGGCTTCTCCTACTTGATTAACCAATTACCCAAGCCGTCTCCAAAAGAAGCAAACAAGTGTACTGGGAAGATTCCAGTTTGGAATGAGCTAAAAGTAGCCACGCATCCATGTGATGGTGTAAGCACAACCCTCAAGCATGCATAAGTCTGGCAAAAGCCTTGACCACTCGAAAAAAGACAAATGGTGCTGAAGCAAGCACAAAATTGATAAACCACCTCATGATGAACAAACTGATGATAACATTTCAACAGACGACATAGGAATATGTAAATAAGCATTCGAGACATTTACCTTGGTCATCCATTAACCTGGATAAAAAGCCAAACTGTGGGTGAGAAACGACTCTACAGTAAAGTGAGGAAACACCAAAAAGGAGTTGAGGTGGGAAAGATCAATCATAGGCTACCAGTCTCCAGTTTTATTGGGTACCACAAACAGCCTCGAATAAAACCCTGGAAAAAGGTGGATGACATGTTCGATGTCATTCAAAGAGAGAGAAGATCCTGTACTGCCTCAGACAGACACTGACGTGTGGTAGAATTCCGAGGCAATAGAAAGGAAATGGGCATCCGAGATAATGGGAAAGGAGAGATGAAGTTGATGACAAGTCCCTCAGATAAAATCTGAAGAACTTGGTGAACTCCCGCCATAGAGGAACAATCTTGGATAAACGAGTCCCCACCAGACTGGAACCCACAGGGTAGTCACCAATACTGTTGTGGCATGAAACTCTGCATTGAATAAAATGACAAGAGGAAGACACCCTAGAGGACTGAACAGGTAAAGGACGGGAAGGATAAGGACGGGAAATGGAAATGGGGGATGATCGAGGCTCAGAGTGAGACAAACAATCAACCAACAAGGAAAGAGTTGATTATTGTCTCATTGATTCCATTCTTGATTTCAAAGTCACTGGAATATTTCCAAATTACGACCTATGGAGAAAAGGGACCAAGCATAAGTCCCTAAGATAAGTAGGTGGAAAACAAATTTGAGAAAATACCATGTCTCTCCCCAAAAGATCCCAACAACAGAGGAACCAGGTGTGCAAAGAAAGAGCTGAAGTCGACAAACTGCCAACATAAATGTAATTAGGGCGAATGTATCCCCCAAAAAACCTCGATGGATCATATCAGATAGGAGGTGGATGGTGGACAAGTACTGTAGGATAGACATGAGGGTATGACAAAGGTGAGAAAACTGGGCATTGGATAAATGAACAGGATAATCAGGGTCCACCCCCCAAATAGGTCAAATCGATTCTGGGTGCTGAGAATTGAGGAACAGAAAATCAGCCTGATGGTAGGCTAAAGCAAACAGATCTAAATCCTGCAGGGCGCAAGGTATGCTAGCATTCTCACGTAACTGAAATACCAAATGCTCAATATCAAGAGAAGTGGGAAACACAAAATACAGAGAGAAAGAAGTATCATGTAACAAGGAAGGGAGAGGATAATAGGAAATCGGGGAGAGTGATAAAACAGAACATACCTGTGAAATCATGTCCAAAAAAGCCGTATGAGGCCTATTTGATCACATAGTATCAACTTGAGAAGATATGGCAAATTCAGGTGGAGGAAAAAGGCTGTCAAATGTTTCGTTGTCCCGAACAGGTTTGGTTTGTTCAGGAAGAAAATGGGCAATATCAGGAAAAAATAGTTTAGTTCAACTAACGATCAAACTCTTAACGAATAACTGCCGATAATTCCACAGTCGAGGACCTTCACCTGAAGCTGTAAATTTGCTAGTAGAAGGTATAACCGCTGAAACTATAACTTGAACTTTGGAATTCATAATTCAAAACGAATAACCAAACACAACTGTGTTGGTAAAAATATATAAAAAGCATAAAACAGTTTGTAAATAATGACTAAGTTCCATAACTATGTAGAAATATAATGTAATTCCACTTCAGAAGAAATTATAAATTAGTGCTAGAGGATAATAAATAGTAAACTCGATAAGAGTAAATCAATACAAATATATAATATGAATTAAAAGTATGAACACAAGCACTGCCAAACGAGAAGTGATAGTTAGATAGAATAGCACAGGAGTCATGTGACTCACATAGGTGTGTGACACTTCTATTGGTGGAGGTTTGTTGCATGATAATTTCCACGCGAGAACCAGTTAAATCATGAATGAAAGACTTATGGTATGCAAAAAATATTTGCAAATAGAGGGCAGCACTGAAGAAGAAAGTTATGAATGTGAGCTAAAGTAAGGTACCTTGTCGGAAATTACTGTTTTTAATTATTAAAACTATCCATAATTTAAATGAAAATTAAATTGATTAACATCAGGAAAACATTCCCCTATTTAAAATTAGTGTTTCCAATTATTTCAATTATCCAGTAATCCCAATTATGATAAAATAAATTAATGTAATAAAAATAATCATGTAATCAAACTTTGTGTTTCCAAGAAGTACCGTTTTCAATTACTCCAAATATTGCCATTATGAGTTTTCATTATTGTTTTCGATAATTCAAAGTTATTCAGCTTAATTAATTGATGTCACAACTCATAAAAATACTTAACTAATCAAAATTAGGGTTTCTCATAATTATATTTTGATTATTCCAACTTTCAAAGTAATTGGAATATTGAATTATGTTTGTTTGTTGTTAATGGCTACCTGTGCACTGCCAACAATGCAAATATCAAAACCCGATATGTGGTTAACTCACATAATAATTTCATCTCATGAGAATAATTAATTAATTGAATTAACTGAGTGTTGAATCCAACAATTAATCAATTAGCGAAGTACACTAAACACCCAGCTCTAGCCAAAGAAAGAGAGAAAAATCCTTCTTTTTTCACGTGGATGGTTGGCAAGTATGCAACTTTTAACGTCTTTTTCTCTTGAGTAGAAAACACATAAAATTATTCTATGGTTCCCTAACAAGCAATGCTGCTCATGAAGTAACCATTGGTACTCACTCACCCGTAAAAACCGTCCACGTGAATTCTCTTTTAGATCAAGATAGTACCGTCTATTTTCTTTGACCATTAGCTCACTTCTTAGTTTTCCATCTTCTGGTAAATTGTCAGGATTAGGTGGACCTAAGAAAAATAAAACATTCTAAAAGTATTTAATTAGTGCAGTTTTCAGGCACCGAGCGAAGTATAAACTAGTGCCCACCCCCACTTACTCTTGCTTTTAAGAAAATTTGATAAACAGTATTTATTAATGATAAAAAATGTTAAAGAAATGAAAAATACACATTTCTTAAAAAAACTGGTTTATTATTATTATTTTATCATACATTTTGTTATTATTATACTCACGATACGAGGTGGGCCCTGGGAAACTGCCTCTTTTGCCCAATGGCTAAAAAAAATGTCATGTCCCTGTATTCAATAGAAAACTAGGT